TTGGGCTAATTCTGTATATTAAGGGTCTTAAAACTATAGACCTCAGGAAAAATCTGGCCCACTACCTGTTTTGGTGTAGCTCATGAGCTAAGAGTGGATTTTATATTTTTAAATAGTTGACAAATATCAAAAGGATACAAACTTCCAGTTTTAAAATAAAGGAGTCCTGGGGATGTAACGTACTGCATGGTGACTATAGTTAACAATACTATACTATGTATTTGAAAGTGGCTAAGAGAGTAGGTATTAAAACAATCAGTAACAATGTGTGGTAAGGATGTTAACCAGACTTATTGTAGTGATCACTTCACAACATATACAAATACTGAATCATTATGCTGTACACCTGAAACTAATACAGTGTTATATGTCAATTATGTCTCAAAGAAACCTTAAATACCAAAAGGGGAATAGTATTTGGTGACATTTGGAAATTATATGAAATACTCATTGTCTGTAAGTACAGTTTTACTGGGATTTATTCACTGTTTTGTAAATGAAGTTTTATTGGAGTCCACCCATCCATTTACATGTTGTCTATTGCCTCTTTTGACAACAGAAATGACAGAGGTGAGTCATTGCAACAGAGATGGTATGGCCTGCAAAGCCTAAAATATTTACCCTCTGACCCTTTACAGAAAAAGTGTGTCAACCCCTGCTCTAGGTGATAAAACTGAGGCTGGGCGTGTCAAGTGTCTAGTGTAAAATGTCACAGAATCACAATTCAAACCAAGGCTTTCTAACTCTAGATACCCTTTGGGTATGGTTTTCCCTATGTTTTTGCCCCTCAGAATAATAATTTTTACTTACACAGTGCTTATTGTCTTCCTGGCATTGTTGATCTTTTAATAATCAAAACAGCCTATGACATATATACCATACTTGGGGAAACTGAGGCACAGATTAGTTAAGCAGCTTTAGTAAGTCCCATACCAGCAAGAGATGGAGCCAGGCTGTCCGCTATACACCGTTCTGTCTCTTGCAATGAGGGAGACACAAGGCAACAGAAGGACCCATCGAGAGGTTTAATAGTTCTCATCTATTCACCCCTCTCTTGAGCTTAGTGATATAAAGCTGATCGCTCTGCTGTCTTAAGCCTGAATTCTCCCCCGCACAAAATACAGTGGACCCTTGAACAACACAAGTTTGAATGTGCAGGTTCACTTAGATGCAGATTTTTTTTTTTTTTGGATACAGTACAGTACTATATTTCTTCTTCCTTACAATTTTCTTAACATTTTCTTTTCCCTAGTTCACTTCATTGTCCAAGAATAGAGTACATAATACATAAAACATACAAAATATGTGTTACTCAACTATTTGTGTTAACAGTAAGGCTTCTGGGCAACAGTAGGTTATTAATAGTTAAGTTTTTGGGGAATCAAAAGCTACATGTGGATGGTTGACTGTCAGCCAGGGAGTTGGTGCCCCTAAACCCCCATGGAATTCAAGGGTCTGTTATTCCATGACAGTGAACCGTGGGTCGGGAATGTCTTATAAACCATCCCTAAACACCATGCATAGGCATTAGTATTTCTTATTTAAATTTACAAAACCCTGGGCCCATTCCAGCCCTACTGAGTCACTGCCATGGCAGAGCCTGGGAATAGGTATTTTTCAAAGGCATGAGCCCAGTGATGAGGTAAGTAGCCTGGAGCATACTAAATCTTCTTCAAATGAGGGGCACCTGGCAGGCTCAGTCGGAAAAGCATGCAACTCTTGATCTCATGGTTGTGAGTTTGAGCCCCATGTTGGGTGTAAAGATTACTATAAATAAGTAAGTAAGTAAGTAAGTAAGTAAGTAAATCTTCCTCAAATGCTGATTGAATTGTATCGAGACATTCAGACCACATTAGTTGTAACAATGACCTGTCCCATGAGCCTCTGTGCATATTATGGACCATATTCAGAAGCAGGTCTAGATTTCATTATTTGAAAAGCTCCTTGAATACTATTAAAGCTAACTTCTCATCTAATAAGAAAATACATTTATTACTGAAGAGAAGAAAATAAAAATTATACATATTGTTTTTACCCAGAGACATACTGTTAATTTGTTGCTATTTTGATGTATACTCACAATCCTTTTTGATTGAATTAGTACAATTCTATTGAATTTTTAAAATACCATGTAGTTATTTTGGGTTACAGTTGTGGGAAGGGATTTCACTTGGGTTTCAGATTTGTTACTCTCTTGGAAGTGCTTAGATAAAGAGCCAAGAAATACACTGTTGCTCCTATGGGAACAGAAGAGCTAGTGAACATTAATTACTGTTTAAAACCTTGAATTTATATGATGAGACTTGGACGGAGCACATTTAGATTATTTGGATGTATTCTTTTTTTCCTTTCTGGTTGCTGTCAAATTATCCTTTAATGAAATCTTTCCTTTATAGCTCTTTGCCAACTGGGCATCCACCACATCACTGTTGATGTCATCTTTGATGTTATGAGGATGGAGCCATTGACACCGAAGCCCACAAATTGGGCAGTCCCCACGATTGCTTTAATCGATGCTGGGGAATTCTCTGCATGAAGATGTATGTTGCAACTGTCAGGTGCTTCTGACAATAAAATAAAGAACAATAGTTCTATTGTATTTAATGTGTAACTTTCCCTTTCTATCTCTGGGTTGTTCCTCCAGAGTTTTGATGATTGGGGCAGAGGAGGAAGGTGCTACCTCATTTCGGGTCTTTCCATTCTGAAGGGTCAGCCTCACTGGAGTCCAGATGCTTCACTGGAGTCCAGACATCAATATAATACTGATGTCACCACCAGCATTTCTCAAGGTGCACTGAGGGGTTCATTTGGGTGCGAGTACGGTTGTGGTATCCACTTCACCATCAGCATAGATAAGATGCACAACTTTGATTTCCTTGGAGAGTCATGATAAATATGGCTGGGGTCAGATGAACCTGGATGCCAGACCATTGAAGCAAGTTATACTTTTGTCTCCTCCAAGCCAAAAGTTAAAAGTCAGTCATCGTTAATGAAACAATTCGGTTGGTTATTTCATACAGAGTGCATCCTGGTATAGTGGAAATAGCATGAACCAAAAATTAGAAAACCTGGATCCTATCTGGGTTCTTTACTCCATACTGATCATTTACCCTTAAGCTTGTTTCTTCTACTGTCTGAGTCTCAGTTTGCTCATCTGTCGGATAGGGATGACAATATTGACCATGATTATGTTACAGGATTACAGGGAAGATGACAATGAGATAGTGAATAAGACTCTTTTGATGAAGTATAATGCATTATGTAAGGTGATGTTATTAACCATAAAATAACATCAAAACAGTAATAATGATTTCTGAAAAGATTTGCAGTTAGAAATGCAAATAGGTTTATGTGTGAATGCTCTAATTATCTGAATCTGTGCAGCTTATTGCTGTGGATATCATAACAAATTAGCCTTTTTTTTTTTTTTTTTTTTAAGTAGGCTTCATGCCCAGCATGGAGCCTGATGCAGGGCTTGAACTCACGACCCTGACTGAGATCAAGACCTGAGCTGAGATCAACTGACTGAGCCACCCAGATGCCCCAAAATTTAGTCTTTTATTCATTAGATCAAGACAAACTGCTAAGACTTTTTACTTATTTATTAAACCTTTTTTTGAGCTGTTTTAGGTTTACAGGAAAGAATGAATGAAAAGCAGATTTCCCTTATGCCCTCCCAATGCTTCTTCCCACTTATTTCCCCTAGTATTCACATCTGGTGTTAGTGTGGTGCATTTGTTACAACTGATGAGCCAGTATAGATACATTATTATTAACTAAAGTCCACAATTTGGGTTAGGGTTCACTCTTGGTATTGTACATTTTGTGGGTTTTGACAAATGTATAAGACAGGTATTCACTGTTATAGTATCATCCAGAATAGTTTCACTGCCTTAAAAGTCCCATCTGTTGTTTTTTTTTTTTAAAGATTTTATTTATTCATTTGACAGAGAGAGATAGCGAGAGCAGGAACACAAGCAGGGGGAGTGGGAGAGGGAGAAGCAGGCTTCCCGCTGAGCAGGGAGCCCGATGCGGGACTCGATCCCAGGACCCTGGGATCATGAACCGAGCCGAAGGCAGATGCTTAACGACTGAGCCACCCGGGCGCCCAAAAGTCCCATCTGTTTAACCCTCTCTGCCTCTCCCTTGAAGATCTGGCAACTACTCATCTTTTTACTGTCTTCTTAATTTTAATTAAATTTTGCCTTTCCCTTAATTTTGCATAGTTGGAATCATGTAGTCCTTAGCCTTTTCACATTGGTTTCTTTCGCTTAATAATATACACTTAAGTTTCCTCCATGTCTTTTTGTGGCTTGAGCGCTAGTTTCTTTTTATCACTGAATTAGATTCCACTATCTGGATGGACCACAGTTGGTTTATCTGTTCACCTTCCAAGGACATCTTGTTTGCCTTCGGGTTTTGGCAATTACGAAGAAAGTGGCTATAAACATCCGGGTGTGGGTTTTTGTGTGGACAGTAGTTTTCAACTCCTTTGGGTAGATACCAAGGAGCGGGACTGATGGAGCATAATAGGGTAAGAGTTCTCTTAGTCTTGTGAGAAACTACCAATTGTCTTCCAAGGTGTCTGTGCCATTATGCGTCCTCATCCGTCTTGGGTGCTGTCAGTGTTTTGGTTTGGACCATTCTAATATGTGTGTAGTGGTCACTCATTGTTTGTAACTCTCGAATAACCTATGGTGTTCAGCAGCTTCTTATATGGTTATTTGCCATCGTACATCTTTGCTGAGGTATCTGTTCAGATCTTTTGCCCATTTTTAAAAAATTGGGTTGTTTGTTTTCCTACCGCTTAAAGAGTTCTTTTTCTATTTTGGAGACTAGCTCTTTATCTGGTACTTAGTTTGCAAAGACTACTCTTCTCAGCTATGGCTTGTCTTTGCATTCTCTTAATACTTGTTTATCTTTAATTATTTGACCGCAACATCATCATCCAACTCTTTTAAAGTACTAAAGTACCTGCAGGCTTATAGCTATTAAAGAGGATGAACAAATCGAATGCTCCATTCCTTTTCACCATTGACCGGTTTTGCAGTCGGGTGCGTTTGTAGATGGGATCAAGTCATCAAGCCCATCAGCCGCTCCATCTCAGACCTCACGTTCTTAACCGGGATCCTTGCTGCTATCATCTGAGAGTCAGCCTGCGGTCTGTCGGAGTTGGCCGGCTCTTGCTGAGCTGATTGGAGCTGCCGACATTTTTGCTGACTGGAGTCATGCTGTCTTTGCCAGTTTGCTGGAATAGACACAGACACCGATTGGGTCACGCTGAAGACATTCCTGTCTTGTGAAGCAAGTCTGTTTGTATTTTAGGTTTGCCAGGACTAATGAATTAAAACATTTGGACTCTCCACAACTTGCTGTTTATCAATGCCTCTGACAGGAGGAGGGTTTTCTTTTGCACTTGCTTTTTCTAGAAGCATGACAACATCCTGGCTGGTGGAGAGGCAAGGAAAGGAGAGAGGGGTTGCGGAGGGAAGCGGAACAGGGAGGCCCGTGGGACGCAGGGGTCTGGGGGAGAGCAGGTAGCAGGGGACTGCCCTGACAGCTGTCATTGCCCCTCAGACTGTCACTAGCTGCTATGCAGCAGGTGGAGCCTGCTCTCTTACTAGGTCTTCGCTCCACAAAGGCAACGACTGGCCAAGGCAGTGGTTGGCCCTGGATTACACAAGTGCAGACACTCAACTAAGTGAGGTAAGGCAGCAGGTGTGAAAACCGAACTAAACGCTCGGGGCACCAGCAACTTAACCGAAGCTCTGTTAACAGCGGAGAGGAGGACAGCAGTGGTCCATTCCCACAGGCGGTGTGATGAAAAGGCAAGCTGGTTTAGGAGCCCTCCTGGCCAACACCGTGTGGAACTCACAATCCAGCCCCCTTGGCTGCTGTCATCCTTTCCGAGGCAGGCAGATGTTCTCCGTTGTGTGGAGGGGAGGGGCTCTAATGAGCTGTGTTTACCAGTTTCATTTCCCCGGGTGCTGGAAACCTCGAGGCAAATTTCCACCTCTCGCGCTTTATTTCTTGGTGCAGGAAAGCATTGGGAGATTTAGCCAAAAGAGGAGCGCTTTTCATCCCGTTAGGATGTTAGGATAAAATGGGTCGGTGATGGGACAGTGCATAACAATCAGACTTTTTCTCTTAGCTACAACTTTAAGGGGTTTTTTACTGTTTGTTTTGTTAAATTTGAGACAGTCTGTTCTATTCCCTAGGAACAGGTGGCTAACAAGATGGTTGATTCTAAGCAGAGGAGACTACACAGAAATGTATGTCAGAGCTAAGATAAAACATATCCTGAGTCAAGTAACAGCAATTTTGTATTACCCTTTTCTTACGTTGAATGTTTCATGTTATTACTTTTTTTTTAACTTAGAAGGACATGACTCGGAGTGCTTTATGGTTCATTGCTATTTGTGGTTTTGAATGAATGGGCCAAATATGATTCTAACTGGGTGATAAACAGCTGCTGGTTTTTCTCCAAAGCTATACTAGGTGTTTAATATAATCCTGTTCTCTTTCCATATACTGGGTAGGATGATTCCATATGTATGTATGTCTGAATATACGTGTGTGTGTGTGTGTGTGTGTGTGTATGTATGCATTTGAGTTTGCTCTATAAATAAGTGTAAAAACAAAATTCAGTGTTCTGGACACTATTTTTAGATACAAAAAAGTTATGGGAAAGAGTTGGAAACCTTGCTCTGAGAAAATGTCCTGATAAACAGTTCCCAGAATCTTGCTGAGGATGGTTAAAGAGATGATTTATATTTTGCCATTTTTAGAGATGTTTTCCTAAAAATATCACTCAGAGTTTTTGGTTTACTGTCTACATGAGAAGGAAAGTAGAGAGTTTAGGGAAGCATGATTAAAAACAGAAAAGTTGCACATATGTATTTAAATAATGAAGATATCATGTATTTATAACAATCTCTTTTCCTTAGTCTCATTGTACAAAAGTTATCAAATATCTTGGTTAAAATGTATTTGGGCTAAATTCTATTATTATAACAAGGAAATATGCATGTATTTTTTCCCATCCCAACTCATCTATAGGATATTTTTCCATTCATTCGATCTTAGTTTATTAATGATAATTTCACAGGTACAGTAGAACATCAATAGCATGTTTTTAAGTTCTGTCTTTTGCTTGTATCATACATTGTTAAGATGTACAACCTGATACATGTTTGATAGATTCACAGGTAGTTAAATAGATATTTAAAGCACGTAATATTTATACTATAACTGTGGGATATTTTAAAGTAGTCTTTGGTATTCTTGAAGTGGTCCTTGATACTCATTCTTTATCACCCATTCTTTACCACTCAATAATTCAGATCAATAATTCAGGTCCAATTTAGGCTTTTGAGTGTGACAAGCTAATTTAATATGAAGCCATCTGATGCCCTATTAGGATTTCTTTACCCTCCTCAATTAAAAATAAAACACTGTATAAGACCTGGAAGGGCCAGGGTTGGACTAGTGTGTGTTGAAGGGATACTAAAAAAGTGAGGTGGGTGGAGATTTTGCTCCATCTTGTATATTTCATTCTAGATATGTATTTCCAAAACAAGTTTTTTTTTTTTTTATAATCCAGAAAAAGAATTTTAAATGGGGCAGGTGAATACTTTCCATGTAGGGAAAGAAAGCTAGGAACTGGGAGTATCTTCAAAACAAGAAAGTAATGCTTACTAACTTTCCCTCCAATTTCCAAGATCCTCTGAATATTTGAGGGATGACTTGGGTAAGTGACAATGGCTCTCTCTTGTCCTTACAGCTGGAAGACCCAGGGGAAGGCCAAAGCTCAGGTGCCCACATGATCAGCACAGCCAGGGTACCTGCGGATAAGCCAGTACGCATTGCCTTCAGCCTCGATAATGCCTCAGGTACGCTCTGCATGCAGGGAGAGGGCCACCTCTCTGCCCGTCACCGCTTTGCGGTCGTCTTTTCCTGTTCCACAAAGGGTGTTTAAAAATGCATGCCTGGGGATGCCTGGGTGGCTCAGTCGGTGAAGCATCTGCCTTCAGCTCAGGTCATGATCCCAGGGTCCTGGGATCGAGCCCCTCATCGGGCTCCCTGCTCCGCAGGAAGCCTGCTTTTCCCTCTCCCTCTGCTGCTCCCCCTGCTTGTGCTCCCTCTCTCTGGCAAATGAAAAAATAAAAAAAAAATCTTTAACAAAAAGAAAAAAATGCATGCCTGGCATGATCTAATGATGGGGCGTGTGATTTTTTCATCAAGCATCGTTGGAGCGTGGCTTCCAGAAATGCCTCTGGTGATGCCGCCCCAGCCTCCGATCCTCTGGGTGCTTTAGCACATTTCTCCTTCCTTTTTACTTTCCCCATTTAACTTTCTTTTATTATAAAATTCCCAGGGCTATAACAATTTCTAACGATTCCAACGTATGTCATCATTGAAACTGTGTGAGGAGACGTTTATTAAAGCGCTGGCAGTTGGTTAGTGGTGTAAAAATATCACTGTCCTGGTTCCAGCAGCAATACTTGGAGCCCAAGTTCCAAAGCCTGCTTCCTCACTGGTGCTTCCACAGTTCAGGCTGAACAAACAGACTGCAGCCAGAGTGATGAATGGGACAGGTGAGGCAGACCCTCTTGAAATAGTAAGGTCTGAGGTGAGGCTGCCATACTTGGAGCCCTTTGTTATGACTCCCTTCAGTGACCTCTTAACACACGTATTGAATTACACCACCTATGACGGGGACCCCAGGTGGTGTGAGGTCACAGACGTGAGGAAGGGAACCCCTGGATCTCTGTCACTGGCATCAGCCTTGGCTCTCAGTCTGTCATCTGTTAAAATCCACAATCACACACTCAAACAACATAACTGTTTCAACCTTGGGTCTCTTGAGGGCTGATTCTGTTTACCTATCAATCAATCAATCAATCACTCACTCAGTCGTCTATTTTTCTTCCTACACTGCCCATGTAGGGGTAATATTTTAAGAAGTAATAATTGAAAAGAAGTAAGTTTATCCCTAAAATAATGCAAAGTAAGGATCTGGGCTCTGTGAAGTCTGACATTATACAGCCAATTCAGGCTTTACTTATACCAAGCGATTCTGGTGGTAGCCCATCTGCCCCCGTTTTCCTGGATTGTGCAGCCCCCAGTGGATGATTTGTTCTAGAGTAAGAAGAGGTGAAGCCTTGACTCTTCATTGTCTGTTCTTTCAACCCTCTTCCCATGGCCTGCCTGTTGTCCTGGTATCTCCGCTCAGGTTGCCTTGAAACACAGTGGTGAAGGGAAATCCTCCCAAAAGGCAAACCAATCCATCCCAACAAAGAAATGATGACTAACATTAACTGCATTTCTCTATTGTATTAGGCATTCGTATGTATTATTTCATATCTCTAAAATAACCATGCAATGTAGGGGCGCCTGGCTGGCTCAGTTGACAGAGCATGTGACTCTTGATCTTGGGGTCCTGAGTTCAAGTCCCACACTGGGTGGAGAGATTACTTAAATAACTAAGTAAATATTAAAAAAAATAACCATGCAATGTAGACATTAGTATTACCAATTTGCAGACACAGAGCTTGAGGTCCAAAGACCATGCTGTAAGTAGGTTAACAGAGTTATGATTTAAATGCAGGTCTCTAGACTTATGAATCTGAACTCTATTATTCTATATCACTACTCTAAAAAGAAAAAGAAAAGCCCCTCCTGCTTTTATGCATTTCATAAATGTAAGATTTTGAGGAATAGTTCATGCTTGAGTGGCTAGTTTTCAAGACAGATACATGTAAGCTCCCAAATCTGGGAGAAAGAAGTATAATTTACTTCCTTGTGATCATGTCCCACATGAGCAGAACAAGTCCTGTTACAATCAGCAGTCTTACAAAGACAATTTCAGTATATAAAGCTTATTTATTCCAAGCAATATTATTATATCATAATTTTGGACGAGACAAATAAATGTACTGTTTCCTCATCTTTATTTATTAAGTTATTAAGATTTTATTTATTTTGGGGAGAGAGAGTGAGAGAGAATACACATGAGCAGGGGGAGGGGCAGAGGGAGAAGCAGACTCCCTACTGAGCCGGGTGCCTGATGTGGGATTTGATCCCAGGACCCTGGGATCATGACCTGAGCCAAAGACAGACGCTTAACTGTCTGAGCCACCCAGGCACCCTCCTTGTCTTTATTTTAACAAAATTTAATTTATGTTCAAAAAAGAGCATGGAGAGGTGAATCTTGATCTTTGGGCTGCATAAATATATTCTTCCTTGAAATACAAAATATACAACTTGTCATTAATTTGCCATCATCCTTTGAGGGATATCAGCCCCTGACTAGGAGCTCTTGTATGTTTTTTTTAATCAGTCAATTTAGATTGATTCGTTCCAGTCTTTCAAATGTCCCAAGAATGCCCACTTTTGAAATTCATGTTTTTTAATACGGTAGCTTCAAAAAGGGGTTGTCATTTATCTCAAGTAATTCTTACTCTCTAGTTCCACAAAAAGATGCATGGGAAGATTTATAAAGAAACTGCTAAAATTAAAAAAGAACTTTTTCCTATGATCTATGTGTCCTCATATCTCTAAAAAGGCATCTAACTAGAGAATCCAAGGCAGGAGTGGGTTTCTGCGTTTCTCAACCTTTCTTAAAATAATGACCTGAGAGCACTCCAAATAGAGAGAACTCACATGTTCCAAGGCCCTACTCCTGTATATTCTGGGGCAGTAGGGACAGATGGAGGTCCAGCAATCTGTATTTCTGCATGTGTATGAAGTTGTGAGTGCACAGAAAGAGGCTTTGCAGATATTTGGAGACACTCCCTCTGAATTCTTGACTATGGAGCCTGTGGAGTGTCATGGAGAACAACACTTGCCATCACGCACGCTGTGCATGCCTTTTGAATTCCAGTGCATTCTAGATCACACATTTAGGGGGAAAACAAAGGCAAGCATCCTAGATTTCCATAGTAAATGGGGAAACTAAGGTGGAATTTTGGGAAGTAATTCCATAATTATGGATTTATCGTTGAGGGGTAAGCAGAGTCCACGAGAAAAGAGTGCTCCTTCCTTTCATTATATTAGGCTTTTTCTTTTTTGCATATTTTTTCTGAGATGATTTGGTGTAGAGGTTAAGGACATAGGGCTTTGGAGTCCTCAAGACATGGTTTCTAGACCCATCTCCATCACTATTTGTGTGATCTTGGGTAAGTCACTCAATTTTGCTGAACTTCAGTTTCCCACAAGGTGTATATAGTGATAATTCACACAGTGGTTGTAAGAATTAAATAAGACTATATAGGTAAAGCATTTAGCATAGTGCTTGACACAAATTAAGGACTCGACTGGTCCTTGTACCTATGATAATTGATTCTGGAGTATTAAGGAAAATATAAGCGTCTTAAGCAGTTTTATGTCTCACCTATATCTCCCACATCTACTTAATGTCAAGATAGAGTTTATAGTATAACTGGCCTGAGATTATTTAAAGACTGGTTTTGCAACTGGAGGATTTGGGGTACCCCTGCCTCTCCTCTTATCAATTAGCTGAACTTAGTTTCTGTGCTTTAGTGCTCTCCCAAAGGTGGGTGAGTTGTGCAAATACAAAGTATGGCATGATCCCTCCTGTGGGTTTCATAAGGCAAAGAGAGTTGAGGAAAAATCTGTGTCACCCAGAGCAGATGGGAACATCTTCTTGGGAAATGTGATAGTCAACCTGCTCTTGAAGACAGGTGGGGTATTGACGGGCAGTGTAGGAAAGGTGCCATCTCTGGGTACCAGGTACCAAAAATGGGGGCTATACAACTTTTAACCATTCTTCCTTTTCCTTTCAAACCAAAAGACTGAGCAAAACCTAAGAGTCAGGAAGAGCATGATATAGTCATCAAATAGTAAAATTCTTGTCAACTGGAGCAGAGGTTTGAACGGTGGAAGAGTGGCATGTCATTTAATGAACCATACTTTGAGCTTTACCTTGAATATCTGTGTATCTAGCCATCAACTAGAGTTAACAATATAATCCTAAAAGTTCAACAACAGAGTTTGGATTTGATCAGAAACAATCGAGTGTCAAAAGTTCTTGAGCAAGGGAATGATAGGATGAAAATGGTAAATGTTCGATTGGTGGAACAGTCTGGAATGTGTAGAGATGAGAGAATGGAAGAGGCTTTTTGTAATGGTACAGAGACAGAGTACTGAGTGCCTGGATCAGATGATGGAATGGGATGACTGAATTCAGAGTACATTATGAAGGGAGGGTTGAAAGGACTCGGTGACAGACTGGCTCTGGATGGGGAGTTGATCATGGCTTATTGATGGCAGAATGTGCCACAAGACTCCAAATAGACTGTGGACCTCCAGGGGCTTAAATACAGGAAGCAAATTTTTAGGGGGGGAGAAAAAGCCCTTTAAAATACCATCACCACTTCTAGCCTATCATCAGAAGCCTTCATTAAGTAACACTTAGCTAACCACAGTTCCTGGAGGCAGCAATGGCTATTTTTAACAAACTAATGATATGATTGACATTACTTCTAAACTGGGAATTCCAAAGAGTTAACTTTCTAAATTGGGACATTCATGGAGTTAGTTTTCCCAATAGAAAATATGCAGAAGAGAAACATGAATCCCATCTCTTGGGTTATTAGAGAATCACTGGCTCTTCTCCAGCTGGAGAGAATTTAGAGCTGGACTGACATGAGGATTTCATGTTCATTACTTGAGAGTTTTCTTTATTTCAGTCAAGCTATAAAATCTGCTACACTCAAGTGTGAATTTAGACCTTGGCTGTGGGGTTCTTTTGGTGGTGGTGGTTGTTAAGCTTTTAGGGTTTTTTTTTAAGAAGGAGTCAAGGATACTAGCATCAGCCCAAGCCAGTAGCTTTCAACATTTTGTTTTTAAAAAATTCTTTCAAGCTATT